TTCATTCATTCAACAACTATTTTTTTGAGCACTTCTACGTGCCAGCTACTGTCCTCCGTGCTAGAGATACCTCAGTGAACAACACAGACACTTGTAGTTCCCTGTTTCGGGGGCAGTTGTTGCTTTGTTAAGGGTTAGATAGTGGCTGGAACTCCCCTACTCACTCCTATCTTATTGTATATTATCTTCTTCTGCAACTACTAGAAGAAAAAGCAGCTCAAGCCTCTTTCTCTGATACCATGAGCCTTGGTCCCCAGCACTCCCCTTGCCCCCTTCTCAAAGAATTTGCCGTCTTCGATCCTTCCTTTGTCCTATTGGAGGACCAATTACGATGAATTTCTATTGTGCCCTTACTTGTCTGTCTCCCCTACAAGGTGAACTGCATCACACCTAACCACATATGCAGATCTATTCCGAGGATCTGCCCCTTGAGGAACTATGCACTTAACTGAAGTTCATTCATTAGGTTGACCAGGACAGTCATAATGGAAAGCATTATTCATAACTCTTAGGTCACTAAGAGCCACAGAAAATGGGTGATGTATTTGTAGACTCAAGGTACACCTGTGAGTAACTAGAAAACAGTCACTGCAAGGGAACTAACTTAAGAACCCAACAGTCAGAATGGCTGAACGATTATCAGTCTTGAGACTGTGCAAAAAGAGGCTTAACATTCAAATCATCTTGAGCTCCTCACCACCAAGTTTGAGTATTGTTGGTCATATAAGTCAGTGATGCTTACCTTGCCTTGGGTGAGGGCTCCTTCAAATGGCAGCAAGATCCAGGCCCCAAATACCTTACACTTCTTCTTCTACGGGGTTTTTAAACAGTGGAAATGTTCCAAACACTCCCCAAACAAATTATTTTAATGTTGTAACATAAAATTACCAAATTCTAGTAAGACAGCTTTTTCAGATTATTCCATTGTTAATGGGTCTCCTGAAGTGTCTTAATTTTACAATCTTACTGATTGCAAACGCAATGGAATTTTTCGAAAAAGGAGTCTGGGGGTAGCTGTGATAACAGGCACAGATCACTTTAACAAGCTAGGAGTATCAGTCTATTATCTGGCCAATATCTATGTGGAACTTGTTTCAAAGAAGCCAAATAATTACGAGTATCATAATTACAAGTGGCTTTCATTTAAGAAACATTTTATTTTGAAATAATTATAGATTTACTGGAAAGCACAAAGATAGTACAGAGAAGTCCCATGTACCCTTCACCAAATTTCCTCCATGGTTACAGCTTACATAATTATGGTCAATGTGGAAGCCAAGAAACCAGTACTTATACCATATGTGAGTATAGTTCTGTTATTTTATCACATGTGTAGATTTCTGTGACCACCACTGCAGTCAAGACACAGGTCTACTATCTGTCACATGCTACCCCTTTATAGTCATATTCAACCTCTTCTCCCCAACTACCTCTAACCTTGGCAACTACTAATCTGTTTTCCATCTCTCAAAATTTTGTCATTTTGAGAGTGTTGTAGAATGGAATTATGTAGTATGTGACCTTTTGAGATTTGGCTTTCTTCATTTAGCATAATGCTTTTGAGGTTCATCCAAATTGTTGCTTGTATAAATAGTTTATTCTCTTTTACTGCTGAGTAATATTCCTAGGCATGGATGTACCATTGTTTTATGGAGGGACCTTTTGGTTGTTTCCAGTTTCTGGCTATTACAAATAAAGTTGCAATGAGTAATGTGTACAGATTTCTATGTGGACATAGGTTTTCATTTCTCTGGAGTAAATTACTAGGAGTTTCACTTCTGGATAAGTATATTTTTAGTTTTTAAAGAAATGGCTGGAGAAGGAAATGGCAACCCACTCCAGTATTCTTGCCTGGAAAAGTCCATGGACAGAGGAGCCTGGCGGGCTGCAGTCCATGGGGTTACATGACTGAGCATGTGTGCACGAGGGTAGGGGAGATGGGTTGGTAGCAATAAAGTGGTAGAACTAAAAAAAAAAATAAAGGGAGAAAGAAATGGCCAAACTATTTTGCTTTTACCATTCTGTGTTCTGTAAACAATGGGTAAGTGATCTAGTTTCTCTTTCTCTGCATCCTTTCCAGCATTTGGTATTGTCACTACTTTTTATTTTAGTTCTTCTGATAGTTGGGTACTGATAATCTGTGGTCTTAATTTGCATTTCCCTAATGACTAAGTGATATTATGTTCTAAAGATATAAAGTTTGTAATTAGTTTTAGCATTTCTTTTGTCAAATCATTTTATTCTAAGCCTCAACTTTCTCATCTGTAAAATGAGAGAATTTAACTGTATAACCCCTAACCTGACATCCCAGTTTGAAAATCCTTTGTATCCCTAGATCTACCTTGGATGAGTTTGTTTGCAAGTTTTCAGTTTTCCCTTTGTGCATCAGCTCTTCCCATCTGCCAACAATTGCCAAGGAATGAATCTTATCCATGGCCTTCACTGACATTTCCATGAAACGCATGACAATCCCTATGTATTTCATTTGGCCCTATTTAGCATTTAAGTCACATCATCAAAGGCTGAGCAAAAAGATCCAGACTTTCACAAATTTATAAGGAACTTTATTAATTTTCTGATTCATTGTAAAGTTGTTTTGATTCCTTTGTTCCCAAGGTTCACTATGGAACACAGTTTTTTGCTTTTTTTAAAAATTTTGATTTCTCAATTTTTGGCTGCATTAGGTCTTGGTTGTGGCTCTCTCTTAATTGTGGCGAGTGGGGGCTACTATCCAGTTGTGGTGCTCAGGCTTCTCACTGCAGTGGCATCTCTTGTTGTGGAGCACAGGATTTAGTAGTTGCAGCAGGCAGGCTCAGTACTTGCAGCCCACGAGCTCGGTAGTTGTGGCACATGGGCTTAGTTGCCCGATGGCATGTGGAATCTTCCCAGACCAGGGATCAAATCTATGTCCTGCACTGGTGGCCAGATTCTTTTTTAAAAAAGCTTTTTATTTTATATTTGCGTATAGTTAATGTGTGTGTATGTTTACATACATATACAAGTATCCATGCTGGTAAAGAATCCGCCTGCAATGCAGAAAACCTGGCTTCAATCCCTGAGCTGGAAAGATCCCCTGGAGGAGGGAAAAACTACCCACTCCAGTATTCTGGCCTAAAGAATTCCATGGACTGTATTAGTCCATGGAGTCGCAGAGTTGGACATGACTTTCACAGGTATCCATTCTCCCCCATAAATAGATATGTATCCATTCTACCCCAAACTCCCCTCCCATCCAGGTTGCCACATAATGTTGAGTAGAGATCCTTGTGCTATTTCATAGGACCTGTTGGTTTTTCATTTTAAATATAGCAGAGTGTACATGTCAGTCCCAAATTTTCTAACTATCTCTTCCTCATATTCTTCCCCTAACCCTGGCAACTTAAAGTTTGTTTTCTAAGTCTGTGAGTCTGTTTCATAAATAAGTTCATTTGTATCATTTCTTTTTATATTTCACATATAAGAGATGCCATATATTTGTCCTTCTCTGTCTGACTTACTTTACTCAGCATGACAATCTCTAGGTCCATCCATGTTGCTGCAAGTGGCATTATATAATTCTTTTTAATGGCTGAGTAATATTCCATTATGTATATATTTACCACATCTTCTTTATCTATCCCTCTGTTGATGAACATCTAGATTGCTTCCATATCTTAGCTACTGTAAACAGTTCTGCAGTGAACATTGGTGTGCATCTATCTTTTTGGACTGTGTTTTTCTCTGGATATCTGCCCAGGAGTGGGATTGCAGGATCACATGGGAGCTCTCTTTTTAGCTTTTTAAGAAAACTCCATACTGTTCTCCATAGTGGCTGTTCGAACTTACATTCCCACCAGCACTGTAGGAGGGTTCCCGTCTCTGCACATCCTCTCCAGCATTTATTGTTCATGGATTTTTTGATGATAGCCATTTTGATTGGTGTGAGCTGTTATCTCATTGTAGTTTTGATTTTAATTTCTCTAATAATTAGTGATGTTGAGCATCTTTTCATGTGCCCTTTTTTTGGCAGGTAGATTCTTTACCACTGGACCACCACGGAAGTCCTCGAACATAGTTTAAAGTGAAAGTGAAGTGAAAGTGAAGTTGCTCAGTCATGTCTGATTCTTTGTGACCCCATGGACTGTAGCCAACCAGGCTCCTCTGTCCATGGGATTTTCCAGGCAAGAGTACTGGAGTGAGTTGCTATTGCCTTCTCCAGGGGATCTTCCTGACCCAGGGATCGAAACGCGTCTCCCACATTGTAGGCAGACGCTTTACCATCTGAGCCACCAGGGAAGCCCTTAGAGTAAATGACACCTTATAATTTTCATCAAGCATCAGTTGAGTGCCTACTATGTGCAGATAGGGTGAGGTACTGAAAAGAGCACAGCTCTATATGGAGAAGGACCTGGGTTTGAATCATGCATCTGTCATTTATGAACTCTGATCTCATCAAGAAATGTAACTTACCTGAATTTCAATGACATGGAGATAAGACCTGCTGCTGAAATTATGAGGAAAAGAGATCATACATGTCAAGTACCTAGTTCATAGTAAGTATTCCATAAGTGGTAGCTATGATCATGTGGGGCACGAGGGGTAGTCCCTGGAGAAAACCTAGAGGAAGAGACACAGCATGTGGGACATGCTGTGCCAAGTGCTTACACACACACACACACACACACACACACACACACACACACACCTCCTATGACTCCCACACTAACACCAGGAAAGAGGTACTTAACTGTTTTTTTTTAAACTGAGGCTGAGATGTTAAATAACTTAAAGTCACCCTGATGCCAAGCAAAGGAGGTTGAATTCAGACTGTGTCCTTAAGTGGCATCCAGTCTAGCCAGAGAGATCAGCTGTGCAGAAACAAATTTCAGCACAGAGTAGCCACAGTGTCCTTTGAGGGGCAGAGCCAAAGGGCACTGAGGGGTTGAGAAAGGGAGTAGATTCTGAGGACTGGCCAGCTGGGGAAGGCAAAAGGAAATTAGAGGATCAGAGCTTCCTCTGTCTCACTGGACATCTCTGAGTTCCTCGATGTCACCACCACAATTGCCGGTTGACCTTGGAAGCCCAGCACAGCTGCTGCGGCAGGGGGAGGGGGGTTGGAGGGGGGGAGGGCAGCCCTGGGCTCTTCCAGCCCTCCCCTCTCTCTCGCTCCTCCCTTTCACTAAAGCAGTACTTATATACTTCTTATCTTCATTAGGCTCTGGAGTTCTATCCAACCTGTGTTTTTCTGCATTATCCCCAAAGGTCATTGTCAGAATTGTATTTCTTCTATTAACATGAAGCCCAGGGTCTATTTTACAGAAATACATTCCAGATTATCTTCCCTAGAATCATTCTGTATCATGTGAGCTTGATTTGCTTATAAGCACATGTCTGGGCCATTTCTGCACTTGATTTTCAAAACATCACTGGGTTCCATTTTCTATATAGTCTGGCTCATAGTAGGTATTACAGAAAATCATTTAGTCAATATACACAGCTATTGAATGTCTACTATGTGCCAGGTACTGGCATCTTGGGCCTCATGGAACATACATTCTATGAATGGCTGATTAACTAATGAAGGACATATGAATTTAACTTGAGTATCAATATCCATGGCAGATTATCAGTGAGAAATTGGAATAAATAAACTCTATGACTTTAATGAAAGTATGGTGTATGCAGTGCCACACAAAGAAATGATTAATTCATTGTGGCAGAGGCCAATCCTTGAAAATGGCATCACTGGGCCTATAAACATGTCATCTTGTAGATGTAGACGAATTTCAGTTGCAAAGACCTAAATTGGGTTAGAGCAGTTTGCCTTTCATCCTCAACCCTCCTTGTTCCTCAGGGATCAATGACTAATTCAGTTTTTTAAAAGTCAGATGGCAGGCAGCCCAAGTTCTCAGCCTCTGGGGGTTATATCTGGTTTGGTGACTTCCTGTGGTGCGTCACGAAGGGGCCACATATCTGTAGCCATTATGTGAGTGACATGCAGAGTATAAGCGTTGGAATCTTTTCAAGTATGTCAAGGGGCTGTATTTCGGCAGCTGATGGAACTCCAAATGTTTTATTTTTTATTATTCCAGATTTTCCTGGAATTGTCTCACCTTTTAAGTTTGTGTCGTCTCTATGTGTTCCCAGAATTCTTTATTTAGGCTACTGTCATGTGGCTATTAAAAAAAAAAGAGAGAGAGAGCTTTTACTCAGTTCAGTTAACAATGTCACCTTAGAATCTACACTGATTCTTCAAAAAGGGAGAAAAGCAGGCTGCTTTAGCTGGTGGGGTGAATGTCTCATTTCTCCCTGGGTTTCACTTCCTTTTCCATTCTAGTGGCTTCCCATTTCGTTCTGGAGTCTCCTGTTCCCTGAATTTAGTTTCCATTTAAGAAGCTACTTTCTCAGAACCTGTTTTTCTTCTTAGTTGTTGCCACTTTCTGGCCCTGGTTTTGCACCTTCAGAGGCCTGGCTGCTGCCGCAGCACTTGCCTTAGCCCCAGCCTCAGCTCGCCAGGGCTCCGGGCCAGCTCAGGTTTACTGCTGCCCCTCAGCCGCTCGCTGCACCTGTCCAGCTCCAATGGACTCAGAACCTTCTGGTCCCAAACTTGCTCTCATACCCAACCCCCACTGCGGAACAAAGGCAGACGCTCCTCCTGGGTTCCGCTAACCCTGAATGGGAGGAAGCAGGAGAGGAAAATGTACACGCGATCAACTCTCTTTAGCACTGTTTCCTGTACTTCATAGGTGATGGGTAGGAACTGATGGAATTTGTATTTCAAGAATTTCACTGAGCTTCCCTGGTGGCTCAGTGGTAAAGAATCTGCCTGCCACTTCAGGAGGCACGGGTTCAATCCCTGGTCTGGGAAGATCCCACTTGCCACAGATCCCACTTGTGTAAGGCTGTGTGCCACAACTACTGGGCTTGTGCTCTAGAATGTGGGAGCCACAACTACTGAGCTCAAGGTCCACAACTACTCAAGCCCTTGTGCCCTAAAGCCCGTGCTCCGCAACAAGAGAAGCCACCTCAGTGAGAAGCCTGCACATTGAAACTGGAGAGTAGCCCCTGCTCACCACAGCTAAAGAAAAACCTGCACAGCCAAAAATACAAATAAAATAAATTAGTAAGAACTTGCATTATTAACTAAATACTTCCGAGTGATGGTAGGAAATTTCAGAGTCCTTAAGAATAAAAAGAAACATATTAAGTATCAGATATTTGGGTCCCCAAGATGGCTGAGTGATAGCCACAGATTTTTTTGTTTAGTCACTAAGTCATGTCTGACTCTCTGCGACTCTGTGGACTGTAGCCCGCCAGTCTCCTAGGCAAAAATACTGCAGGAATACTAGGATTTCCTAGGCAAAAATACTGCAGTGGGTTGCCATTTCCTTCTTCAGGGGATCTTCCTGACCCAGGGATTGAACCCATGGCTCCTGCATTGGCAGGCATATTCTTTACCACTGAGTTACCAGGGAAGCCCCCAAGATGGCTGAGAACTCTTTTCTCAGCACCTCTTCTTGGAACCTTCCAGAAAAAGGTGGCTGAAGGTAAGAACCTCTGAAATCTGTCCTTGTCCCTAATGTGTGTGTTGGGGGTGGGGGGCGGAGAGGAGTGTGGTTAGAATGTTTGGGATACCTAATCTCACAGACAAGGCAATAACAGGATAATGTATTAAACAAAGACTGTTAATGCTGATGAAACCTTTGAAGAATTCAGATGAATCCTTGGCGTGTTCATCCTGGGCCCCTTGAATGTCATACAATCCTGAGTGGGATATTTCCCCTCTATGACTTCATTTGTAAGATGACACTGTTCTTTTTCACCAGTACATGTGGACCAGCTAATTAAAATACTGTACTGGTTCATTCAAGAAACATTTACTGAGTTCCTACTACATACAAGGCATCGTGCAAATGGACTGTCCAATATGACATAGAAATTTAAAAATAGATTGCCATAAATAAACTCCATGATAGGGTTATGTAAAACCTTTCAGATAATTTTAGCTGTTTGTATACACAAATAGGACTTCTAATTCTACCATTTGAATGACTTAACCTGTATTTTTCCACTATCACCCCTCCCTTCCAAACCAGTTCATTCATCTTAGTCTGCAGCCAATTTCCATCCATTTTCTAATGGTAGGATTAGAGATGTCAGGTAAGATTGTGCCCTCTATAAGGACATCTCACCAAAGGGACAAACAGAGTAGAAATACTATACGTTCCACTGGCTAAGCCATAAGACCTGGCCTTGGTCAGCATTCACCCAGAAGAAGGAAATAGTTTTCTAATGTGCACGAATGTCCCTTATATTTTAACTGTGGCCCTCCTCAGTTGGTTCATGGGCCAGAGATGGAGTAAATGGACAGAGTTTAGTATTGTAATCCAATAAGATTTACAATAAAGATACATATAATGGTATAAATGGTGTCCATCTAGCTACGTGGTAAGTCACTCATGTAGGTAGCTATATTTGGTGTTCTTTTTACTCAGCCAAGCCAACTATGGGGAAGCAAGAGAGAAGGAGAAGGAGGCCACAGTGAAAGCTTGGTGAGTTCCTCTGGAGCCCCAGTTTGGGCTTCTTCTTCAGCAGAGGGTCCCCATCAGCTAAGTGTTTCCTGAGATCTTGTGTCCAGGGATCTGAAGGCATAGTTAACCTACTGAAAGACACCAGCATCTTCCCTCTGAACCTAAGAGAGCAGGCATCAGAAGCCTCAGTCTCTAAACGAGACGCTGTTGGGCAAGTAGATCAATGAGTAGCTGCTTTCATCATCAGGGATGAAAGCTAGAGTCCAAAAATACCTTTTCTTGTCATGCAAAGGTTGGGGGGAATGATACTTATAAATGAAAGAAAACCAAGTGGTATGATTTAAAGAAAGGACAGCAGTCCCCCAAACTCCCCCAAAACCATATGCAAAATTCTGCCAGATTCATTTGATTTAACTCCTCTCATGGCAAGTTAAGGTCAGGTGGATTGTTTACGAGTCAGTCTTACTCTGGGGAGAGTTCATTTAATTATTTTGATTTTCTAAATGCTAGCTGATTCACTGGAGCAAAGGGAACTTTTGCTGGATTGACAGGAGCCTGCAGAGGTTTGGCAGAGGTGTGCTACGGGCTAAACTGTGTATACCCCCAATTCAAGTCCTAGCCCCAGTACCTAAGAACGTGACCTTATTTGGAAATGGAGTAGTTGCTAATGTAGTTAGTTAAGATGAGGTCCTATGGGAGTAGCACGGACCCCCTAATCCAGTACAACTGCTATCCTCATAAAAAGGGAAAGTTGGACACAGAGACCCACACACAGGGAGAACACCAAGTGAGGACTGGAGTTATACAGCCACAAGCCAAGGCACTGCCAGCAGCTGGGAGAGAAGCCTGGCACAGACTTCCCTGGTGGCTTCAGAGGGAGCACAGCTCTGCCAACACCTTGATTTTGGACTTCTGGTCTCCGGAACAGGGAGATGGAAAATCTGTTGCTCCAGAAGCCACCCAGTTTGCAGTGGGTTGTTATGGCAGTCTTAAGACACTAATGCATTGTGAATGGGGAGAGAGTGGTGAGACATAATGCTTGTGATGGGCTCTGGCTTTCCAAAAACGACCACAACCATACCTCCCACCCACATGTTCTTCCCACAACGTGACTTTGCCAATCTTCCCATTGGGTGTTGAGGTCTCTATACCCTCCCCTTGAACCTGAACAGGATTTTGTGACTTCTTTGACTAATTAGGGTATAGCGAAGGTGACATGATGTGGCTTCCAAGGCTAGGCCACTTCTGCCCTTATCTCTTGGGACACTTGCTCTGAGGAAAACTAGCTGCCGTGTAAGCGGTCTTGCTGCCCTGAGGCCACCATGCTGTGAGGAAGCCCAATCTAACCCACACAGAGAGACCACATGGAGAGCCTCAGAGTCTACACAGAGAGAAAGATGTCTGACCCTCCACCCTGAGTTGCTCCAGTCCTGCACTGTTTTAATTCCAGTCACTATTTGACTATAACCCCAAGCCAAAACTGCCTACCCAAATACCCAACCCACAGAAACTCTGAAAGATATTAATGATAAAAACAATTGCTGTTGTTTTAAGCCACTAGGGCTTGGGATTTGTTACACAGCCTGCAGGGGTAACTGGAAGATGAAAGGACTTTGGAGAAAGGGAGCCCAAAGGGAAAGAGAGATGCAGAGATGTTACAGTGAGATCAAAGGCTAAAAGATGGCAAAAGTTCAAAGAAAGAGAGGTGGTGAAGGCATTTCAGGAAGGACAGCGGCGGCTTTTTATCCAACAAGGGCAGTGCAGTCAAGTGGAAAACATCTGGGCTGGAAGACAAATGACCCCACACCCCTCCAGTGCTGTTGCCCACTGGCACTTTGAGCAAATGCCTTTCCCTCCCTGGAGAACGTTTTGTGAACTCATGGTGTGTGGAAGAACAGCTCACCCTGGAAATGTGGAGCTAAAGAGCAAGAATTGCACCCCCACACACACCCGTGCATCAATTCTGGGGCCTCCAGGCACCCTCTGACTGTGATGGGTTGTTCTCATGTAGACTCTGCTGCTGGAAGATGTACTGACCAGCCGAGACAAGTATCTGACCACTTGGCAATCACAGTAAATGAATCCAATGACACTCCAGTTTATGCACCCACAGGGATGCTTGACCTACACCTGTTAGGGCAAAGACCCCAGACACAGGTGATGAAAACAAGGTGTGACCACTCGGAGGGACCCTGCCCAAAAATGATCAACTGGCCTCCCTAGAGGACGACTATTCCTCAGGGCCACACTGCAAAAAAATCTCTTCTTAGGTTAAAAATAGAAGAGGAAAAACCAAGTATGTAGTTCCTTGGAAATAAGGAATGAGCCAGAAGAACTTGAAAATAGTGGGAGAAGCAGAGGAGGCCAGCTCTCTGGTGGGACAGCTCATGCAAACGACAGAGAAGCCTGGGCCAGGAAAGCCTTGCCTGACTTTCATTCTGCTCTTCAAACTGCTTTCCTCCCTTCCCTCATACACTGTCATTTAAGTATACTATATCTTGGTCTGTATGTGCTTAACGAGAAAATATATAATAAATAGAGTTTAAAAAACAAGATGAATAAGAAGAGAGCTGAACATATTTCTCATCCAGTATTCTTAACCCAAATAGTAGTCTGCCAGGCTCCTCTGTCCATGGGGATTCTCCAGGCCAGAATACTGAAGTGGGTTGCCATGCCCTTATCCAGGGGATCTTCTCAACCCAGGGTTCAAACCCAGGTTTCCCACATTGCAGGCAGATTCTTTACTGTCTGTGCTACCAGGGAAGCCCAAGAATTCTGGAGTAGATAGTCTATTCTTTCCCCAAGGGAATTTCCTAACCCAGGAATTGAACCGGGGTCTCCTGCATTGCAGGTGGATTCTTTACCAGCTGAGTTACAGAGGACGCCCAAGTAAAGACAATCCAAAGTCAAAAGATGATTGTGGTGATAGCACAGTTGTTTCTAATGTTTAATTAGGTTATCAAATATTTCATAGACCAATAGCTGAGCATCTGTAATCAACAAACAGGAGCTAACGAAGCAAGAAGTCCAAAATTATCAAGAAATAATGTAATCTTGAGCCACTTGTAAAACAAAATCATCCCTTTATATTATATTTATATGATAACTCTCTTTATGTTATAAAATCCCCAAGGGAGAAACAGATGCTGCAAGTACGTTACTGGATGTCTCATCACCACATCCTTGCCCTTGCCTCTGCCTTCTCCTCTTCATCCATACAGACATTTTTATTACAAGTGTAGGGCAAGGCCCTGGCAGCACAAAAAGGCTTTGACTATTAACGTCTTTGATGAGAGTACTGTGCAGTTGGAGAGACAAGACATTTATATAGATATAGCACCTGAATCACTACAAGTGTCCATTCAAAAATATACTAAGTCCCTAACTATTCTAATTGTAAGAAGAAACCATGCTAGAAATAAAGCTGCTCTCTTCACAGTGCAACACTGCTTAAAAGATGGTATGGAAATCGCCCATGGCAACCCTAAAAGCAAAATAAACAAACACAAATGTACTCTTATGCAACTCAGCTGGTGCCAGGAAAGAGATGCGGGGTGGGAGCTTCATCCATGGAAGGAGGTGGGGACAGTAGAGCAAGAAATAGCCCTTGCACACTGAGAATGTCTGTACCTGTGACTGTGATGATTAAAGCTGGAGGGCAAATGTTACGGTCAAGAAAGAGCAAAGGTGAAGTCTGATGTACACGTTTAAAGTCAGCTGTCAAAGTTGGGTCCGCCGAAGTATCAGGGCTGAGGTGTGTGGTCAGACAGGGTCAGTGAAGTGGGACAGATGAATATAGAATTGACAGTCAACCAGAGGACCCATGGCTACACAGGGGCAGGATGAGAGGTAAGTGATTGTGAGGATTTTAAGAGGCTGAAAAGAGTAAGGAGGATCAAGGGAATCTTAATTCTCACAGTGGGACTTCTGTTTATTTCCAGAGCAGATGTATGGAGAAAAAGCATACATATAAAGGTGAGTTGAGTGCATCTACAATAAACCTGTAGAGGAAGGGTAGAAATTAGAACTGAACCCTCTTCTGAGACATACTATCATTTTTACATTAAAAGATGGCAGTTGGGTTCATGTTTTTGTATTTCCACTGATGGTGATAATGTCTGATTATTATTTTTCTTACTTTCCCATATAAGACAGAAGGACAGATCTGACAAGGTATATTTCCAAGATGCCCAGCTACCAGGCAGAGCTGCCATAAGAACAGGGCACTTTTGCTTCCTCTTAGGCCAGGAAAGGTGTAAAATGATCCCACCATTCACAGGCTGTTGTAGAAACTCGCTGACTGCCCTCATGGAAAGATCCCACCTGTCTGTAGGGTCACAGTCATGGCACCCACAGCTTTTGCATAGTAAACATTTTCCTGAAAGAAGAGAAAAGCCTTTTATGATATAGTGAGGTGCCCATCATTGGTGGAATTCAAGTGGAGGCTAGATGTTCAAGGCAAAGGCACTGGAGAAAACATTTTTGGCCTTGGATTGAAGGTTTCTCCCAGCCCTGAGGTTCTCTAATCTACCAGCAAACCACTGTTGACAAAGGGGATGTAAGGAAATGTTGCACCAGAAGAGCAGCCATATTTAGAGGAAATATGATAAAGGATACTAGTGGTAAAGAACCCGCCTGCCAATGCAGGAGATTTAAGAGAGATGGGTTCAATCCCTGGGTGGGGAAGATCTCCTAGAGGAGGGCAGGGCAACCCACTCCAGTATTCTTGCCTGGAGAATCCCATGCATAGAGGAGCCTGGTGGGCTACAGTCCATAGGATAGCAAAGAGTCAGACACGACTGAAGCAACTTAGCATGTACATTCTAAAAGATTCCATCAAAAGAGCCTGATACCCGACAGTCTTTTTAGAGCCAAAGAACGAATAACATTTTGTAGCTCCTAGTTTTCTGTCATGTGTAGAAATGCACATAAATTACAAACGCGTAATCCTGTAACATCTGTGTCTGTTGTGGCTGTGGTCAAGAGCTTTGAGTGGTAGACTTGAGTCCATATGGGACAGAGGAGGCCATGGTTCCTAGAGAAGAGACAGTTGGAAAACAGCCATCTCCCATCAGTGATCTGGTGTAGAAAGGTAGATGACTTTGTTTTTCCCTGAAAGAAAAAGAGTTTGTAGTCAGATATGTGTGCATTTTTCCTTATAGCTCAAGAATAAATTATACAGTGCTCAATAAACTCTGAGATTCAAAGGATTAAATCTGATAGAGTGCCTGAAGAACTATGGATGGAGTTTTGTGAAATTGTACAGGAGGCAGTGATCAAGACCATCCCCAAGAAAAAGAAATGCAAAAAGGCAAAATGGTTGTCTGAGGAGGCCTTACAAATAGCTGTGAAAAGAAGAGAAGCAAAAGGCAAAGGAGAAAAGGAAAGATATACCCATTTGAATGCAGAGTTCCAAAGAGTAGCAAGGAGAGATAAGAAAGCCTACCTTAGTGATCAATGCAAAGAAATAGAGGAAAACAACAGAATGGGAAAGACTAGAGGTCTCTTTAAGAAAATCAGAGATACCAAGGGAACATTTCATGCAAAGGTGGGCACAAGAAAGGACAGAAATGGTATGGAACTAACAGAAGCAGAAGATATCAAGAAGAGGTGGCAGGAATACACAGAAGAACTATGCAAAAAAGATCTTCAAGACCCAGATAATCATGATGGTGTGATCACTCAACTAGAGCCAGACATCCTGGAATGTGAAGTCAAGTGGGCCTTAGGAAGCATCACTATGAACAAAGCTAGCGGATGTGATGGAATTCCTGTTGAGCTATTCCAAATCCTAAAAGATGATGCTGTTAAAGTGCTGCACTCAATATGCCAGCAAATTTGGAAAACTCAGCAGTGGCCACAGGACTGGAAAAGGTCAGTTTTCATTCTAGTCCCAAAGGAAGGCAATGCCAAGGAATGCTCAAACTACCACACAATTGTACTCATTTCACACACTAGCAAAGTGATGCTCAAAATTCTCCAAGCCAAAAAAAAGAAAAATTCTCCAAGCCAGGTTTCAGCAATATGTGAACCGTGAACTTCCAGATGTTCAAGCTGGATTTAGAAAAGGCAGAGTAACCAGAGATCAAATTGCCAACATCCACTGGATCATCGAAAAAGCAAGAGAGTTCCAGAAAAACATTTACTTCTGCTTTATTGACTACACCAAAGCCTTTAACTGCGTGGATCACAACAAACTGTGGAAAATTCTTAAAGAGATGGGACTACCAGACCACCTGACTTGCCCCCTAAGAAATCTGTATGCAGATCAAGAAGCAACAGTTAGAACTGGACATGGAAGAACACACTGGTTCCAAATTGGGAAAGGAGTATGTCAAGGCTGTATATTATCACCCTGCTTATTTAACTTATATGCAGAGTACATCATGAGAAACACTGGCCTGGAAGAAGCACAAGCTGGAATCAAGATTGCTGGGAGAAATATCAATAATTGAGATGTGCAGATGACACCACCCTTATGGCAGAAAGTGAAGATGAACTAAAAAGCCTCTTGATGAACGTGAAAGAGGAGAGTGAAAAAGTTTGCTTAAAGTTTAACACTCAGAAAACTAAGATCATGGCATCTGGTCCCATCACTTCATGGGAAACAGATGGGGAGACAGTGGAAACAGTGTCAGACTTTATTTTTTTGGGGCTCCAAAATCACTGCAGATGGTGATTGCAGCCATGAAATTAAAAGACCCTTACTCCTTGGAAGGAAAGTTATGACCAACCTAGATAGCATATTAAAAAGCAGAGACAGTACTTTGCCAACAAAGGTCCGTCTGGTCAAGGCTATGGTTTTTCCAGTGGTCCTGTATGGATGTGAGAGTTGGACTGTGAAGAAAGCTGAGCACTGAAAATTGATGCTTTTGAACTGTGGTGTTGGAGAAGACTCTTGAGAGTCCCTTGGACTGCAAGGAGATCCAACCAGTCCATCCTAAAGGAGATCAGTCCTGGGTGTTCATTGGAAGGACTGATGCTGAAGCTGAAACTCCAGTACTTTGGCCACCTCATGGGAAGAGTTGACTCATTTGAAAAGACCCTGATGCTGGGATAGACTGAGGGCAGGAGGAGAAGGGGATGACAGGGGATGAGATGGCTGGATGGCATCACCGACTCGATGGACATGGGTATGAGTAAACTCCGGGAGTTGGTGATGGACAGGGAGGCCTGGCGTGCTATGATTCATGGGGTCGAAAAGAGTCGGATACGACTGCGTGACTGAACTGAACTGAACAGAATGTTTGTCAAAATGGGAAAACCTACTGAAGTCTTGTAACAAAAGACAAAATCCTCTCAAAAGTGAGTAGTGTGGGATGATTTGAGAGATGAGCATTGAAACATGTATATTATCATATATAAAATAGATGACTAGTATAAGTTAGATGCATGAAGCAGGGCACTCAAAGCCGGTGCTCTGTGACAACCCAGAGGGATGGGGTGGGGAGGGAGGTGGGAGGGGGGTTCAGGATCGGGGGGACACATGTGCACCCACGGCTGATTCATGTCGATGTATGGCAAAAACTACCACAATATTGTAGTTAGCCTCCAATTCAAATAAATTAATTTTTAAAAGGTCTGTAGTAATTAACAATAATGAGATCATTTGGAAAAAGACAAATCCATGTCACCATATCTTCTCTGAACCAAGTGCAAAAAGGACAGTCCACCTGGACAGGAACTGTATTACTTTGTAGACATCAGGCACCACTTAGGAAACAGACCACTCTCCTTTCAAGCATCATCCATGGTGTGTGTTCCCTATATGCTGAGAGAGGTGTTTCAGGTCCTATAGAACAAAATGAGGCCAAACCCAGTTCTAAATGGAGCTTGGAGAGGCAGGTGCAGAAAATAAAACTCTGGAGCTGTGGAGAGACAGTCTGTCATCCCCAGGATCCTTCCATGTGCCTCTTACCTCGGGGCCTCCTTCGCCAGGCTAGGATGCCAACTCCAGCCAGGGCAATGGCGAGCACAATGAACCCAACAGCTTTCATCACCAGAAGCATAGTTTCCGATTCTGAAAGTAAGCAAATAAGGGAGGAAAAAATCCACATGTCCTCCTGCTAATGTATGTTATTTTGGGGGACTTTTTCCTGTGATCATCAAGAAGCCCAATACTACTTTTCTTGCTGTGACTTCTTACTTCACAGCTCTATGGAGAATAATCTGAAACAGGAACAGCTGTTCCCAGAGTATGGTCTGAATGCCTGAGGTGTCCTCAAGACCCAGTCAGAGTCAATGAGATCTAAGTCATCATTCCCCACCCCCCCTTTTTTAATCTCCATCTCTCACATGGGCACAGTGGAATTTTGTAGAGGCCACACGATATGAGATGACATCACCACTCTGACAGCAAATAGAATGCTATGTTTTCTAGTGTTTACTTTTCTTAAAAAAATTTTAATTTGCAATACCATAAATAGAAATAGATATAACTTACATAAACAAAAGCTCTTTGGGGTCCTCAAGAATTTTTTGAGTATAAAGGAGCCCTGGGACCAAAAAGTTGAGAGAACCTCTGATTTAACAGACCCATTCTTAAGTACGCAGTGATCCATGGTTCCCGCTCACCCCGTTTCCTCAGGCTCACTCCCCAATCACATCCCCAGCCTTACCCTGGGAACCCTGAAGAACCATGTGGACTCCGCCATGTTCCACGTGACAGGAGTAAATGTCATTGTTCTGAGAATCCAGCTCAACAGACACCCAAGTCTGATAGGTCCCATCCCCGCTGGGAAGAATGCCTCCATACTCGGTGTCTTGGATTATTTCTTCCCCGTTTTTCATCCATTTCATGGAAATTTCTGGGGGGTAAAAGCCATGAGCTCTGCAGTGAAGAGCTGTAATCCCTGGGAAGGTTTCTCTGTGATTGACTCTGACTTTTGGGGGCTCTAGAAAAAAGAAGTTCAAGTTAAAATAGAAGTATCTTAGGTACTGAGTGCACAATATGAGAAAACAGCAACTGCATTTCCCAATTTCCTTCATTGCAGGAAACATCTAAAAATAAGAATGACCCAGAACCCAGGTTCACCAATAACAAATTCTTTGATCTAAAGCCAGTTTGAGCAGATTTCTGTTACCTGAAACCATTAAAATGAAAATGAGTATTCAGCTAGTGAGTGGGAGAGTTGAAACAAACTCCAGTCATCTGCCTTCAAAACTGATGCGCCTGAACAGAGAGTCCATATTCATACCTGTAGTCCAGGTGCCTCCCCAAGGGGCTGCCATAGCTCTGGAAAGCCCCACCATTAAACATCACTCCTATGGGAAAAGGCACATTGTGTCTGGGAGTTTCCCACAGCATGATATAGTCGTAATTCATTTTGAATAATGAGATCATTCATGAAAAGTTCTATGTTAACTAAAAGTTGACCAATTGAATCATATCTTTGATGTATAAGAGGAGTTTTTTACTGAAAGGAATCTTATCCTAACCTCTTTAGGAAAGCAAAGACCCTCTGTCTTTTTTCTAATTTCAGATTTTCACTCATCCTGGTGTTGTATGATCTCTTGGTTACTACATAGCTTGAAGAATTGCATTACCTCCCTAAGTATTGCAATGGGGGGTGGGGGGGTGGCCGAAAAGTTCATTCAGGGAAACCCCGATGAATTTTTTGGCCAACCCAATATTACCCAACTTATCATTAACAGGAGATGGGAGGATTTATCTTACTGAATCCCCCGAAAGGAAGTGTCCCTGGACATACTCCACTCAAAACAAAGTAGAATTGCTGAGTGTTGTTAAAATGCTGATAAAAAGGTAACTAGGGAAGGTTTTCATGGGGAGTTACAGGTCACTGTAACCCAACTAACAAAACAGATTTCAAAAAAGGATGGCTAAAAGCTAAATTAGAGGAATATTATATATGAAACCACTAGTTCTGAGGATGTGGGGACAAGGAGTTCTCCCTCCTGTTTACCTGTCCTTTGTAAGAGGTCTTTCCCATACTCTAGGAATCTCTTTAACCAAGCAATACATTCTTCTTCTAGCCAATTTTTCTGATATTGTAACTCATGACGATTGGCCTCCCATGCCCGCCTGATGATGTCGCCCACATTATCCATGGCTATCCAGGAGAGGGTATCTTTATTGAAGATAATGAAATCCTGTCCATCATATGCATATTGGAGAAATCCCGTGGTGCTTCCATCCTCCAGTAACTCATAGCCGATCATTCTCTGGTAAGTGTGAACCCCTGGAAGATACATGAATGGCAGGAAGGGAGAGGTTGACATGGGGATGTAGAGGTGGGTACCCAGGTGATCTGACTGAAGGCATGGCTGGAAGCATCTTCGACCCCAGAATACATCACTGCACAGGCTTGGCATGGCATCACTGAGTCTCTAGAAAGTTCCTGTGATATAAGCCGACCTATACACAGGTATCTACAGAGTATCTACTGCAGGTCAAAGGAGTATGATAATTCCTGCCTTGTGGAGTTATCCTATATTGGGAACAACTCACTGATAAACTTTTTACTGCAGTGGAGGAGGGAGAGATATCCAGGAGCCAGAAATATCCCCGGGGAAAGTTAATGTAGTAAGTCACTGCCCATAAGCAAGCACCTCATTAAGCCGGGAAATGAGACACTCAAGGGCTAGATTTAGGAGAAAGGAGAAGATGCAGGTCAGCAGCCTGAATGGGGATGGGGCAAGGACACGGGGGCACACAGGTCCTGGGGAAGAAACAGACAGTGTGGAAGAGGCACAGGACGGATCGCAGGCACTGAACCCCATCAAGATTGCCCAAGCTTTGCCAAAAGAATGCAGCTCAGCTCACAGTCACTGTCCGCCCAGGGGCCTCTACCGGGTTGCAAGCTAGAGAGCAACGCGCTCGTCCCTGCTGCCTTCCCCACCTGAGTGATTATAGTGACGTTGCAGCTGCTTCAGTTCTACCTTGAACGCCTGCTGCCAGCCCCGCAGCAGCTGTGTGTACCTCTCCCAGTGATCAGGCGCCAGGTTCTCCGCCATCCATGGGGCCCGAGGCTCCTTCAGCTGGGAGACACTGTTGTACATGGTGATAGGATGAGAATCCACGTACCCAGCTGAAATAAATTCAGGGATCCCATAGCCAGGCTCTGAAACACCCAGGCGAAAATATCTCAGAGAGTGAGTCCCTGCGAGAGAGGCAGAGAAGGCAGATATTTAGAGTCACGGCTGATCCAGATCTATAACCTGCTAGATTCCATCTAAACCCCATGATAGTCCTCCGTGTTCACTTGCACCCATTCTTTCGGGGACGCAGCTGCTACTTCCTCTTATGAAATCACAGAACACCAGGAACTTCGACCTGGAAAGGACTTCAGAGCTTTAGCCAAGACTTGGAGCCTGTTTTGTTCAGGTTGGAAACCTCAGGTTGAACTTTTTTACAGGTAACTCAACTTGTAGGTGAAGTAAAGTGTTCTGGTCTTTTGGGGAGGGGCCCAGGACCACTCACTGGCCTCTCCAGGGAGATCTATCCCTGAGGGATTCTGAGGGTTTGAAAACCCTGATAACCAACCCCCAGGTTTCACCAGCAGAGGCTCTAGGGTGATAAATGAGGGCCCCTATCTCACTGCTGTGCATGCACATGTACACACACACACACACACACACCCCCAGGTTGGCTAGTCTGCTTGACAGACCCACAGTGAGAACCCACATAAAGACTCAGGCCTTCCAAGGAAAATTTTTAATTTTTCCTTAAAAAATTTAATTTTCAAATTTTAAAAAGCAGAATGCTTTGTTTATTATATCAAACCAACTCTGAAAACCATTTTCCTATTATTTCTCTACTTCTTTCTTCCAGCCAAACCTCACTGCAAGAATTGTCATAGTCCCTGATGGTCAAAAGCCAGATAAGATGAAGCAAAACTGCTTGACTTTCTCTGCTGCTTTTGCATTGAACTTCTCTCGTGTCAACCAGGAAGCTCCGCATCTGGTGGAGACAGACAGCGCAGTCTGGAAGGAATGGGATGGTGTCATGATGGGGTCAGTGCAGGGCGTGGGCCCTCAGGGAAGACTTTCTAGAGAAGATATGTCTTAGGGAAGATCCTGGGACAGGGAGGAGGTGAGCAAGCAATGAGGCTGAGCAGGGACATAGGAGAGAGGACAGTAGGAGCAGAACAGAAAACAATTTGTACAGACAGAAGCTAGGAGAGCGGGGCTCACTCTGGGAACCAATGGCCTAGGATGCTGGAGCTTAGCAAGCATCACAGAGGAGAGGAGAAATGATGCCTAAGAGGTAAGCAGAGCCGAGGCGGAAGAGACCAAGGGCCTACATGTCCTTCCAAAGAGCTGGTGGGGAGAAGGCACGCAGCACGGTGGCTTTCTTCCCCTGCTCTGCTCACTGTTGTCTGGAAATGCCCATCTCTAGCCCTTTTATCTTGTTACCTCCTGCCATCCTGACCCATCAACATCCTCCCCAGTCAGCATCTCTAAAGACAGCCCCCAAGACCAGCCCTGACATTTGCAAGGCTGAGTCAAGTGATCAGAGGAGGCCCACGTGCCAGAGGCCCAAATATCTTACAGGGATAAATCAAGCTAACAAACTGTTCAGTAAGTTCTACCCTCCCTACCTTGCAAAATATCCCTTCATATGACCTCAAAGCCCAAGTTCAAATTCAAAAATCTGACTTGGTGGCGGTGCAGAGAAAGCTAGCTTCTATCTTCCAGCCCCTGGGCCTTAGCCTGGACCTACCTCCTTCTCTACCTACCCCGACTCCACCCAGCCCTGCTTAGGGCCTGGTGCCCACAGGTAGACACCCTGCTCTCTCATTCAGACTCCATCTATAAACACTGCCTCTTTGCCACCTCTTGGACTTAGCGTTTGGTCCTAAGGCTAAGAGGCTTTAGGTCCATCCTTAGGAGGATGGACCAAAGGAAGAGGCCCGTGTAAATTCAAGCAGCCCTGAGTCATCTGGGCAGAGAGCTGCAGGTTCCAGATACCTGTGGTGGGGTGCAGACCCAGGGCAAGCACCTCTGTTTGGCCTCATGGACGCCTTGCTCTGTGGGAAGGATGTGGATAAGGGAGTTGTTGGAGCAGGGCCCTCTAAAAGGTGGGGCCACATCCACGGCTTCTCTTGTATGTGTCTAAGAGCTGTCCTAGACACTATTTCCCCCAGTTTTTTCCAGGTAGCTCATCCCGTTGTTGTCCCCTTTGTGAACACTCAGATCGTCAGGCACGGCCTTGGTCACTGTGGAGAAGCTCAGATGGGGGTCAGGCTGACCCCCAGGTTGAATGCCACTTAATGAAGTTTACTCCTTCCTCTTCATTTTAAATATATGTTTAAGAAAAAAGTAAAACAAAAAACAAACAAAAAAAAACCAGTTCACAAAATAGCTGGGTTCATTTTTGTGCATGCACGTCTGGCTATAACTTTTTCTAAAGCTGTTTATGAAAGAATCCATACTGTGCAGACTGTCTTTTAAAACAGGCCTCCCCGAGGCCAGGGAACCCTCACCTCAATTATGATGGGGAATAGGATTCCCTGAGGCCAAACCAGGCCTTCCAACTGATTGCACCAGTTCTATAACCTGCAGGCGCCTCCAATTTTCTTTCTCAGTTTTCCTTCTCTCTGCTCCTCCAGCTGGGGTGCGGGCAGTTTTTGGCAGCACCCACTGTCCCATGGGCCCCCTCCCTGGAGGTCATATCCTGCATGTCAGCTGTGGTGCTGAGCAAGATGGAGCCTGGTCCCCCCCAGGCCTGGGCAGAGCATAAAGGCCCCATGGTCCCTCTGAACTGCCTTGACCTTTTATTCCCCACCCCTTTCCCTTCCTGTGGCAGTGGGGGCTGGAATGGGGAGGCAACCCAGTGAAAACCTCTGAGACTAGACATAAGACCATCATAAAAGTGTGGTTCTTATGAAAACAAGACTGAGGGTAAAACAGAGGCACAAATTCTATCTCCAAAGCAATAATTCCATATTCTGCCTTCTATTCTCTTATCTTTGTTCACCTTCTACCCACTTCTCAGTCCTAAAATACTTAAGAATTGGGATTTAGCTTCTTCCCTCTGTATTTCCTACAAGGCCTAGCACAGGGAGCCTAGCCCATAGTCAGAACTTAAATATTTGTAGGTATTTGTAAACTGTTTGTAAAACACTATTTTTCTGCTTCAAAATAATTAATTATGCTGGAATGAATGTGAATCAATTTAACTTCGATCTTATGCTTTATTTAAAAAGTATTTTTGGCCTCACCACACAGGTATCTTAGTTCCCTGACCAGGGATCCAACCCAGGACCCCAGGAGTGAGAGCTCCAAGTCCTAACCACTGGACTTAAACTTTAAAATAGAAATTTTAATAAAATTAAATTTTCATTTTCTAAAATTAAATTATAATTCCCAGGGAATTCCCAGGAACTTATACTTTAAAAAGTACTTTTCATAAGGGGCAAGCTGGTGAATGGGAAGCAGAGCTGAAATCTAATTTATATCCAGCCTGGAGTCTGTAAAAGGTGAAATATGGTGGAATCTGCAATCCATTTTGCAAACGGTTTTATTTCTCTACATCTGGAAAGGTTTTGTGGTTCCTCCACAGATTATGCAACTGCTCAAAGATGGAGGCAAAAGGAAGAGCAAGTCATGAACATTTTCTCACACTTTCTTAGTCTCCATCTGAGTACTCAACAAACATGTGAGTACCTTCTCTGTGCCAGGCACTGTTCTGGACTTTGAACACATCACAGACAAAACAGATAAAAACATCTGCCCTTCTGGAGCCTACATCCTAATGGGAGGACACAAGGAAGGCAGACAATATAAAATAAATACATATAACTGGTCATTTAAAAAGTGCAATGAATAAAAATAAAGGTGCAAAGAGGACTAAGCAATGTAATTCTAAACAGCAGAAGTTAGGGAAAGCTGCTCTGAGAAGACTTTGAATAAGTGCCCACAGGGAACAAGGGAGCCAGGCAGATGTCTAGGGACTGCGGTCCAGGCAGGGGGATTTTGTACAAAGGCCCCAAGGAAAGGTCAACCCTGGCACATTCCGGGAAGAGCAGTGAGGCCTGGGGCTGGAGCTGAGTGAATAAGGGGAAAAGAAATAGGTAGGAAATGCTTCCACACTTCTGATAGCAAAAAGCCTCAGAGAAATCAAATCCCAGACAAAGAATGAGAGAGAGGGAGGAGGGAGGAAGAAGGAATTTAAAAAGAGACTATGTCATTGACATATAGATCTTCCCTCGGAAACTGGGTTTCCTTCTCTGACATCTGGGGTCTGCATGCCCAGTAGATGCCAACAAACAAAAAAATAGTATTACCAACTTGGGGTATTACTGCTCAATGGGGTTATTTATTCTAAATGAGTATCACTGACATCATCTCCATATATAATATCTACAATCCATGTAATTTCACTTTCTTACAAAAATGTAACTTCATAAAGATTTGCATAATCCAGAGTTTAGAAGAAGTCAATAAGAGAGACACATGGGAAGCAACCTAGATGCCCATCAGCAGACGAATGGATGAGGAAGCTGTGGTACATATACACCATGGAATATTACTCAGCCATTAAAAAGAATTCATTTGAATCAGTTCTAATGAGATGGATGAAACTGGAGCCCATTATACAGAGCAAGTAAGCCAGAAAGATAAAGACCATTACAGTATACTAACACATATATATGGAATTTAGAAAGATGGTAACGATAACCCTATATGCAAAACAGAAAAAGAGACTCAGATGTATAGAACAGACTTGTGGACTCTGTGGGAGAAGGCGAGGGTGGGATGTTTCAAGAGAACAGCATCGAAACATGTATATTATCTAGGGTGAAACAGATCACCAGCTCAGGTTGGATGCATGAGACAAGTGCTCGGGCCTGGTGCACTGGGAAGACCCAGAGGGATCAGGTGGAGAGGGAGGTGGGAGGGGGGACCAGGATGGGGAATACATGTAAATCCATGGCTAATTCATTTCAATGTATGACAAAAACCACTGCAATGTTGTAAAGTAATTAGCCTCCAACTAATAAAAATTAAAAAAATAAATAAATAAAACAAAACAAAAAAAAAGAGAGACACATGGTCTGTTGCCAGCTGTCCAAGGACGGTGGAATGTCCTTTTCTCCAACCTCCATCTGAGTCTTGTTCCTGTTTTCGGAGCAGTTTTTCTCCACTAGCCAGCCAG